TGTTTCTCTAACAGCTTTTTACATGGGCGGCGGTCCGTTTCCGTTGAACCACGCACGGACCAGACGAGCCACGTCTTGAGGGAGGAAGAGCGTCCCGCCGAGAATCAGGTACCTGCGGGCGGCGTCCGTCGGCGTTTTGGGGGGGACATCCGCCAATTTGTATCTGTATCTGCAAAGCATAGCAAATGTGATTAAAGGTTAGAGTAGGTATGTCAAGAAAAATGGGTCAGCTGGGAGGCGTTCTGCCGGTAGGGGGTAAAACATCAGGTGGGGGGTCATACGGGAATGCGGGAAAGGGACTTCGCCGAAGCGGAGGAAAGGCTCTCCTACCCGGAGATGCGATTGTAGGCTTCTGGGTTATTTTGTTCTGGGAGGCATTAAGTTTAGATATTGGCTATGTTTGTGTCGTGTTATTCAAACCGTGTGCAAATTGTTTATGGCACTTCTGGTGCGGAATTGCATGCCTTGTTTCGTGCAGTGTTATTGATTGGATGTGTGGTGTACATATGCATCAAGAACAGGCAGAGAGAAATGGGAGATCCCAGCTACGGACAGTAACAGCTCACTTGTTTTCATGGTCACAAGGATTTATATTTAAAGTCGGATGGGTGAAGTAAAAATATGTTCCTTTAACTGTAGGGGATTGGGAACGTTTGAGAAAAAGAAGAGATGTTTTGAATTACCTACGCCAGAGTGATTTCAACATATGTCTTTTACAAGATATACATTGCAAACCAGAAATGCAAAATTACTTCCGAAATATGTGGGGCGGAGACGCAAAAATAGCAGGGTTTTCACAGAATTCGAGAGGGGTGGCAATTTTATCGAGGGCAGTGGATTTGAAATACAACGACATACGCATTGATGAATTCGGAAATTATATCATTGCAAGTGTGGTGATTAATGATCAGCTTGAAGTTATATTAGTGAATACATATGGCCCAAATATAGATGATCCCCATTTTTTTATTAACGTGTGGGATATATGCGAAAAAATGAAAGGAGAGAAAGACGTGCCATTTATTTGGGGTGGAGATTTAAATATCACTTTAAATTTTTCGATAGATGCCCTTAATTATTCCCAACAGCATAATAAAAAAGCCACTGATGCAGTAAAAAACATCATGAATCGTAGTGATTTGATCGACATTTACAGAGAAATTAAGGGCGAAAGGCAGAAGTTTACTTGGAGAGTAGGCAATCCTGTTAGAAAGTGTGCAAGATTAGACTACTTTCTTACGTCAGAATCCCTCATGCCAATGGTAACAGATGTTGATATCATTCCAGGTTATCGAAGCGATCATTCTATAATTACAATGGAACTGAACCTGACAGAGCAAAAGAGGGGGAAAGGGTTCTATAAAATGAACACATCTTTGCTAATGGATCGAGAATATGTACAATTAATAGAAAAGACAATAAGGGACACGATTTTAATTTATGCTCTTCCAGTTTATTCAGTTACTTTTGTCAGAGAAAAACCAACAGAAGTTGAGGTGATGATCAGCTGGAGTGCATTTTGGGAAGCTCTGATTCTGAACATGCGTACTGAAACGATTTCCTATTCAATTCATAGACGTAGGAAGTTAGTAGAAGAAGAGTTCAAAGTAATTAAGGAAATTCAAAGATTGGGAGATCATGAAGAAGGCGAGACGTCCGACGAAGTACAGTCAAGACTATCAGTCTGTAGGGAAAAATTAGAGGGCCTTAGGAAAATAAAAATGGAGGGTATTGTGACACGAAGCAGGGCTCGCTGGTACGAGGAAGGCGAGAAATCGACAGCATACTTCTTGGGGTTAGAAAAAAGAAATTATGTTAATAAAAACATTGCTTGCCTGTGTGATGCAAATAATGAACGGAGAACAAAACAAACAGAAATAATGGATATATTAGTTCAACATTTTTCTGAGTTATTTACTGAACAGCCCATTGATTGCACAGAGGCGGAGAAATTTGTAGATGATCTACATATGGAACAGCTCTCACAAATACAGTTTAAGGAATTGAATAGACCGGTGACGCTTCAGGACCTTACCGATTCCTTAAAAGGAATGTCGAATAATAAGGCGCCGGGAACAGATGGATTTCCAGCAGAATTTTATAAGCTATTTTGGAAAGACTTAAAACTTTTTTTCCATAGAATGGTAATGGAAAGCTATGAAAATGGTAGGCTACCAACGTCTTTAACTGAGGGAATTGTAACACTCATTCCAAAACCTCTGAAGCCTAAAGATGAGATAAAATCATATCGGCCGATAACGTTACTAAATTCGAGCTATAAGATAGTTGCATCTGCAGTAGCAAATAGAATAAAGAAGGTCTTACCAGATGTTATTGGTCATGAACAAACGGGTTTTATACAGGGTAGATTTATTGGTGACAACACTAGACTTACATATGACCTTATTCATCATTTAAATAGTACAGAGAGAAGTGCTTTATTTCTTAGCTTGGACATTCAGGATGCCTTTAATTCAGTTAACTGGGACTTCATTCGCATAATGTTGAAGAAGTTAAACTTCCCTGCATTTTGTATTCGGTGGTTCGATACGCTTTCTTCAGAGGCTGCCTCATTGATTGTTTATAATGGACATATATCAAAACGGATCAAGTTAGGAAGATCATGTAGACAAGGAGACCCTCTTAGCCCATATATTTTTGTGATTGTAATGAACGCATTGCTTCAAAGAATTAAACAAAACAGAAATATTTCTGGAGTCAGAGTAGGTGATTTGGAAATCAAGATGTCTGCTTACGCGGACGATGTGATGTGCTATTTAGATGGTAGCGTGAATAGTTGTAGGGTTTTATTCGAAGACTTAGGAATCTTCGCTAAATACTCTGGATTAAAACCTAATATTAAGAAGACCCAGGCGTTTTGGGTAGGTAAAGATGCAGAAACAAGAGAGCCAATTTGTTCAGATTTGGCTTTAAGATGGACAAAGAAACTTCAGGTTCTGGGAATCATTTTTGCTAATGACGAGACTCAATCAGTGGAAGAGAACTATGGCAGCAAGCTAACGAGAATTAGTGCAATTATTGCCAGCTGGAATAGACGCAATTTGTCGCTGGGTGGTAAAATCATAATCATCAAGACGTTGTTACTACCGATTTTGACACATATACTTACATCACTCCCCAGTCCGCCAGAGGAGTTTATGAAAAAGTTGAAAGCGACATTATTCCAGTTCATTTGGAACGGAAAAGTTGATCGGTTGAAAAGAAGTAGTATTTATAGAGATCATTTAAAGGGAGGGTGTAATATGGTAGATGTTGACACGTACGATACCGCCCTGAAAGTTACATGGGCGAGGAGAGAAATCATGGGTAATCATGACTGGTGCAAGTTGTTTAGGCAAGAAATAGCACGATTCCAGTTTATCTGGGAGCGCAATGCAGATTCATTATTGGAAATGGGAAGAAATATGTCCAATAAATTTTGGACAGATGTTGTACGAGCAATGGCAAAATTTGATCAGAGCATCATGGTGGACATAGAAGATGTTAATCGACATTCCGTGTGGTTTTCAAATCATACAAAATTTAGAAACTATGAAATAAAAGCATGGAGGCAAAAAGGAATAGTTTACATCAATGACCTATTAAGGGACAATGGAGAAATAATGTCCTTTGAGGAAGCAAAAGCTACTTATGATCTGAAAGGGACAATAATAGATTATCTAGGTCTGGTACATAGTCTGCCTGTTGAATGGAAAACCAGACAAGGCAAAGTAAAGGAAGCATATCCTATTATTCACCCAAATGTTCAAGCGATCATTAGTCAGAAAAAAGGCAGTAAGTATATTTATAACACACTTCTACATCATAAATTCAAGGGAAGTAAAAATAGTTGGGAGTTGGGTTGGGAGCAAGAGATGGGACAGATTGACTGGTTGAAAGTATATGAAGCAAATCTTAGACTAATTTCGGTTAAATATCGAACACTACAATACAAAATTTTAACGAAAATTGTGGCAACAAAACGTTTACTTTACCAAATGGGCATAACCGTATCGTATAGATGTGACAGATGTACGCAATGTATCGATACTATAATGCACAGATTCTGGTTTTGTCCATTGATCAGAGCATTTTGGAAGGACGTTGAAACATATCTGAGGAACGTAGGCTTAGTTCAAAACATGTCTTTTTTTAACTTAAAAATGATAATTCTAGGAAATGATGAATTGCTGGCTATTAATCATATCATCATCGTAGGCAAAACGATGATTGCTGGCAAATACCTACTTTCTGTTGACATTTTATTAACTATATTGAAAAGGGATATGATCACGGAAAAACACATAGCGCTTAAAAGGGAAAAATTACGTGACCATGAAAAGAAGTGGGCAGCGTTGGTTGAAGCATTTGACCGGTCTAGCTAAAAAGGATTGTAAAAGTGTGTAGGATGCTGGGAGTCAACAGGCGATCAGTTTATTCTGTTGTTTCTCTTCTTATCTTTCCGTGTGAAACGATGTCATAAGCTGAATACATCGTTAAAAAAAAAAAAAAAAAAAAAAACAGCTTTTTACATGTTTAACCTTTACTGCATCGGCAGATGGCCGATACATGAATTGATGGTCGTTTCTGCAAGCCGCCTCCTATATATGCCGGTCTGGCCGGCCGGATGCCCGTAAGGGGCTGTATCCGGCCTGGATCGATGGTAAGCATCGCGCTGATCTGAGCTTCCTGTAGCCAGCACCAGAGGAATGGCGCCAATGCGGCGGATAAATGGCGCGAGTTGGGAGGCACCTCCGGCATACCAGGGTCACAAGGGTGCATAAACAAATACTTATGCACAATGCACCACGTGCATTACATTGCATCTTCATTAGCCGAGTCGGAGACGTATCCCATGAAATCACGAAATAACCGAACCATTGCGTTAAAAAAATGAAACATGGTCGATAACTATCCGCTCATACTAAACGAAAGCAGGCATTGCACATCAGTCAGAGACAAAGCATAAAAATTATCGCAGACGTAAGTTTCATACGTACCGACTGCTAGCCTGTCTCCTTCGCGGCGTTTCCACGTCATCGTTCCTCGTCTCTCGTTATCACTCTCACACCATATCACTACACACGCCAGTCGTCACCGGGTGAACCTTCACACTACCAACGCTCGCGTATCACGTGCCTCGTCTCGTGCGCGCCGCGCCGCCACTGCCCGGGATCGACACGCACCACACTCGTCCCCGTTCCGCTCTCGACTGGCGGCTGACTGCTTGGAGCCGCCGCTCGGCCGACCGACCGCGCAGGCGCCGTCCGGTGCTAGCTGCACAGCGGATGTGACGGCGTTGCAGTCTCCGGCCGGCACGCCACTGCTCGTGAATGCGCCCGGCTCGTGAGCCCTTCGTGATCTGAGCGAATGCCGGAGCTGGGTTACCTGAGCTCTGGGTGACGCCGTTATGGGGATTTGTGCAGGGTGCATGTCATGCTAAATAACACAAGTGGAGATCAGGGATGTTTGAAATTACAATACTCCACAGGTTTATTTTCAACGTGCAGCGCCAAGACCTTATTAATGCAGTCAAAAGTTCCAAAAGTTTCTAGCGCTTTTTTTCCTTGGGCACTTTTTACTTGGGTACACGTCTTTAGAGGTGAAAGGATTGGTATGATAAAGGTTGCAAAACTTAGAGCATTTTAGTTTTTTTTTTAGGTATTTCGTCTAAAAAAAACATCGCAAACGGCAACAGCAATAAGTTTTGTGGCTGCTAAAAAAAAAAGCATCTGGGCAGTGCAAAAGCCTTATAAGGGCTCATCAAAAGCTGTTTTGCACGTGGAATAGGCTTTGCTACTTTCAAGTTTTAAGCGTTTAGCAAATTTCGAGACGTTCTGAGAAACATTTTTGCCGTTTTTATTTTGCCTTTGATTTTGCCCGCATGGCTTTGTAAAAAAAAGCAGTAGTTGCCCAAAAGCTAGACGAATCCGACCATGATAAAAATGTGTAATCGTTCAACGTGATAATTATATCTGATTTGTTCGTAGCAATAAAGTGGGCCGACCAGTAGGCACTAGACATCAAACATGAGTGAGCGCACAAATGCCACCAGCGCCAAGGGGAAGAAGGGAAAAGGAGGCGCCTCGAACGCGGCCAACAGCACCAAGGCATCCATCCGACCGCCGCAGCGGATCACCACCGTTCAGAAGCTGCACATGAAGCTGCTGGAGGCGGGCATCGGCGCCGGCGACCGGCGTGGACCGACCGACGCGGCCATCGCCGCCGGCATGAGGGCGACGGCGCGGCCGGGCCCCGGCACCGAGCCACCGGACGGCTCCGTGAGCAGGGACTCGAGTCCCGGCATCGACCTGGTGCCGCCGCCCCAGGAGCCGCCAGCCGAGCCGCCGCCGCCGCCGCCGCCCAAGAAACCGGCCAAACGCACCGCCGCCCAGATCTTCCGCGAGCTGGCCAGGTGCCGGGTCGAACAGGAGGAGGAACTGAAAAGGTAAGCCCACCGTCACCGCCCCTCCCCTTCCATATATCAGGCAGATAAATATCTAACCCTCAGGCCTGTCCACCTGAAACCCGTAGACATGTGCTGCTCGCGCCGCGCAGCGGTGCTTGCAGGCCCCGCTCCGTCGAGAGCTCATGTCCTGACCGTCCCGTCGTCATCACCGCAGACTGTCGGCGCTGGAGTTTGTGCCCGTCACAGAAGAGGTTGTGAACAAGAAGGCTGTCGAGCTGGAGGAAAAGGAGGCCCACGACAGGGCGGAAAGGCGCATGCTGGCACTGCTCACTCTTGAGAACTCCATAGCCTCCAAGGAAAAGGCGCTGGAACATAAAAAGAAACTGGGAGATAAAGCGCTGCAGGAGGTAAGATTTTTCGAAGCTATTTTGCAAGCGGTTTATGTGTTTTGTGCAGGCAACGTAGGCAACAGCCAACAATGCAGGCAACCTATATAAAAGTGAAAACTAAGCGCAAACTGTGTCAAGAGCTACTTCTCGATCAAGCGAGCACTTTCATTCGCGCATTGCATCGATGGTTGCATTTTATGCAGACTTTCTGGAACATATCATCAATCAGCTATGTTTCAATGTCATCCCTTTTATGCCGTTTCAGAAGCGAAACCTGCGCACCGTTCTGGCTGAGCTGAGGGCCCAGGAGCAGACTCTGGCAGAGCACGTGCGGAGGACCGTGGTGGCACTACGGGAGAGGGCCAGGGAGGCGGTCAGCGCGGTCACCCAGCAGAAGGTCACTGACGGTCAGTCGCGTGGTGAAGGGGGACAGTATGGTGGGACAGACGCTCTGTCGTCAGACTGGTGGAACAGAAGGTCGAGACGGTTTAGTTGGGACAGAAGGTCTGGTGGGACACACAGTCTGATGGGACAGACGGTTATGTGGGACAGTCTGGTGGGACAGACGGTTTGATGGGATGGTCTGGTGAGACGGACGGCGAAGGTTTTTATTTGTATCTAAACAATAGTTTACATGGTTTTGTATCATTGGTTGCGTGATGCACACATAATGCCGTAAAAAGTTGTACGATGTATTATCGCGTTCCGCATTTGTTTCCAGCTCGCCAGTTTGGGGAGGAGACGCTTTCACTTGTCCGAGAGGCTCAGCAACAGGTGAGGAAATGCGTCGAACGAAACTAACGTTTGTAATCGATAAGACTAGAATATGGTACGGAAGGGAGGACGCTGAACTAAACGTTATGATCCAGAGTAATTGGTTTCAGATGCGAGTGTGATTTTGAACACATTACAGATAATTTGCTCGTAAAAGAGGCTGGGTAACATCCACTAAATCCACTCAGACGCGTCCTCTTGCCTCTGGCTAGCTGACCCTTTCAGTCCCTCCCTGTGTTCGATCTGTAAACTGCACGTGCTGTTCCCCTTCCAGAGGGAAGAGGAGCGTCAGCAGCGGGCGCAGCTGATTCAGGAGATCCGTCAGCTGGAGACCACGCCGCTGCCCCGCTTCAAGGAGCTGGACCTCACCGAAACGGCCGGCCACGGACTGCTCGACGAAATGTCCATCGTCGAGGTAAATAGGGGGCTCGACGTAAGAACTTAGAGTCATTGATGATGCGCTGAGGCTGGTGACAGATATGATGAAGGGCTCCGGCATAAATCAGAAGACGTCACTATTCGCATGTTGACGCGTGAAATTTCCCTCTTTTGTAGAATACCTATGCTCTGATAATTGGTGCACTACCGAAATCCAGTTTATGCTAATGACAGTTATCAAACTAACTAGGACGTGCAAAACCAAACACGATTGCGTTCGTGTGACCTCTAGCCTGACGTAATCAAGACGTAATTACCTCTGACCTAACGTAATCGTTTTTGCGTTTGCACGGTGTCATAGTATTTCGATGTTCTTCGGTCTATCTATAAGAATAAAATTCATTATAATGCGGTATATGTCTATTCGTGGAATAAATGAGAATGTGATTCGTTTCAGCTCAGAGAACGACTTGCCCTCCTAAACATGAGACGAACGGCAGAACTTCGAGAAAAGAACCAGATGATTCTCAAAAAGAAAAAGGAACAAGAGCAGCAGATGGAATTGGCTGAAGAGATTTTAGCAAGATTCCACGAAACGCAAGCACTTGAACGGTACCGGTCTCAGCGTCAAATGTTTATTTAGTAGTATTCATTCAATACGATAATTTCTAGCTTTGTCCTGCCCCGAAAAATATGTGAGAGGCACGGAAATAATTGTTCATCAGCGTTAGCTATAACTATTATATTACTGTCTTTACTCCACAAGGAACCGCTTCGGGTCGGAGCTTTTAAAATCGATTACATTACTTCGTCAGCAGGTGGCAATCGGCTAGGTATTGGGATTTGGAGATATCAGTCGAAGAAGTACGTACATATTTTTGAAACTTCGAGTTCCAATAAAAGAGTAAATCTCTCATTTCCTCTTGATAAGTCATAACTCCCTACCTTTCGCACCTTCTTTCATTTTTTCGTGGTTCCGCTCTAAGCCCCAGCTCCGAGCTCTATAGACTCCGAGGAGCCAGAGCACCTCTTCCTCTGACTCCAGCCAGACAAAATATAAAGCTCCGACCCTCTAGGCTCTAATGAATCTCAATAACGACCGTTAAAGAATGAAGAATTTGTTGGGTTAGGCCCTTTCGGTCCAATGAGACCATTTCAGAGCCGGAAGGATGATAGGATATAGGGGGAGACATTGGTCTGGGCAGGCACCCTAGTGAGTCGCCGGGGCTGAGCCCGTCCAGAGGACAGGCCACCCAGCCCCAAGGCACTCACTGCACCCGGCTACGGGGTGCGCTCCCTCGGGAGCAGCGGTGCCGCTCCAAGGGAGCAGCCCGCATGAGCTAAAGTTGCCTGTCCAGTCCGGAGGGGGGTTGCGGCGTGGAGGAGAAGGATTTCAGTATCCTGAGGATAGAAGCACGGAACGGTGAATAACGACCGTCTCTTGTTATGTGTTTACGTACTATCTCGGTGTAGGCATTCGTTCCTCCTAACCAGAGTACTACGTCGATCAATTCTGTCGTACCGCTAAAGTTCCCGCCTGTGTCCTTAGGCAGCAGCAACGTGAGCGGTCAGCCAGGAGGCCGCCTCCAGTCTCCTCCGAGCGGCTCCACCAGCTTCAGAGCGAGCTCGAGATGAAGCGAGGAGAGCGGCTGAGGAAAGCTGCCGAGCGGCGAGCCGGTCTGCGACCGCAGCGACACCTGGTGGTGCCAACAGCAGCGCCTCCAGCGGCAGTTGTGCGAAGCGCGCCGCCGGGAGTGGGTCGCACGCGGGCGGAGGAGGAGGCGGTGTATCAAAGGCGGACAAAGAGTGACAGTTGTGTGCGGCTGGGTGCCAGCTCCCAGGGGGTCACCACCGGCACCTCGCAGTCCTATGGGTGTGTCGCCAGATAGATGGGCAATTGTGGGCTATAAGCACTGCAACGGATCGGCGGAAACGGTACAAGCTGAAAAAACATCGAAATATAATCTACTGTGATGCTAGTAAACGTTTCCCGGTTTACGTGGACTAGTTTTAACGTCTGTCTAGTTTTATGTCATTATTGTTACCCTAGTCGGAAGCATGAGCACAGATTTACACAGCTTGTGTCAAAGTCACAGACGTCTTATTGTTATTTGCTTACGCACCCGAGTGTTTATTGAGTCGCCTACCAGGTCCAGTACAGTGGGCAATGCAAACCAAGTGCATACGAACTACTTTCTACACAGACAACGATTAAGTCTAGCCATAACCTAACGTACATCTACAAACACAGCTTGTAAGTTGCAACCGCAACATACAAACGCAAGCGTCTACCCTTGCAAGGTCTTGCACTTAACAAACGCATTACACATGCACGATACACTTGTTACACTGCATGGTATGGCACATAGATACTGTGAATGCTTACACACACAAAAGAAATACACAAAGTGACGAAGAATAAACGTATCGCTCAACAACCACAGCATCAGCTCGTCTGACATCATTAGTGTACTAGGCATCACACCAATGGGTCACCTGCCTTACACATCCAACAGTGACAAGTGACAACAGCCGTCAGCACATTTACCAGTCTCACATTACCAGACATCAGTCAGTCCCACATCACCGAGCGACCTCACATATCGAGCTGCACATCTGTGTTATCCCGTATCCAGGCGAGGTAGGGTGCGACGCGTGTGTAGCCGGCCGGGTCCCCGATGTCACAGCCGGCGGCCCCTACAAAGCTGCTGATACCGACCAGTGACCAGCGACCGGACTGGAAGATCATCAGCGGCCCGCCGCTGTCACCCTGAGGGGCACACGGCAGGGCGTCAATATCGAGACTCAATGGTGCTCCGAGCCAGGGACTTCGAGCAACCTCAGGACTAGACTAAATGGTATCGGCAAGGGGACGAACTAAAAATAATTAAATGCATGAATGTGTCCGAAGGAGTAAAACGGTCACATTGAAACTATAGACTATAGTAAACGTATGTCATGTCACTGTCATATCAGGTCAAAACATAGTGATATGATGTAGATCATAGGGTAGCCTGGGGCAAGACGCCCCAGATAATTTATTTTGCTACATAACTTTTATTCCACATAACCTAGAAGGCCAAATTTGTGCTCAATGCGTTCTTTGGACATTCTACTTTAAATTCCACCCCTCAAATTCATTCACTTATGATCGGACTCCCAGCTAGGAAGTGGTTTGTGAAGCAACTGCAAATAGGGCGTTTTGCCCCAACCCCAGGGCAAAACGCCCCACGGCCTGGGGCAAGAAGCCCCATACTCTAGATTAAAGATTAAACATGCTAGTTGACTAAATCTTATATGAAAGGTCCGTTGGACCTTGGGAGGCATGGCACTGAAGTTAGCACCTTCCATCCTATCAGGTGTTCAGCTACGACACTATTGTATGAGCAGGTTTTTCACCTGCCTCATAAGGCCAAATAATAAATTATTGCAATGCAAATGTTTACAGAATACTTCCTTTGACATCCAGTTGCTGAGAAAAATACACATAAAGGCATAGAAACTTACTGTTCGCCAGCTACCGAACATTAGAAAGTGGGTAGTCCGAACAACACATGAGGTAAAACGCCCCATGGGGCTTTTTGCCCCGCGACCTACTGGGGCGTTTTACCCCATCACGTAGTTCGGTCAGAGAACAACGCCTTGCACTCCAGGAAGACATAATTTAACACGAACCAACCCGGCATTGTAAGCGTTAGACAATAGTTGTTCAAAATACATAAAAGTCGTTAACCTGATGTGGACGATAAAAGAACGCCATGATGCATAATCTGACAACAAAACATAAAAATCACTCCAAAAACACATTTTTGGCTATATCTCCCTAAAGAGTCATCACAATTTATTTCCAGTCTGCTCATATAATGATCGTATAGTGCACGTTTTATAGAAGAGAGGATGTTTCCCCAGAACCTTGCCAGTTCCGAGAAACATCGGTGAGGCGTTTTACCTCGGCGGGGCGACTTGCCCCGGTCTACCCTACTTCATTTGTCACCAGGCAGCTTTACGGTATCGTTTCTTTTCGGGCTGTAAAAAGTGGCGTAATAGCAGCACAGTGCACACAAGCTATTAATTAAACCCGCGCCCCGTAGGGGGGGGGGCGAAAAGCCCCCCCCCCTGTCCTTTTCGGTCGATATCTCCTAAACGGCTAAAGATATCGCCACCAAACTTTCAGGACCCCTCCGGGCATCAATTTTATACATTGTGACAAAAAACAAATTCCAGAGGCTATGATAGGTTGGCCACAAATGACGTCAGAATGACGTCATGTTTTGTCATTTTCGACCGAAAAAAGACCTTCGCGAGAAGATATGTCAGGCCTACAGCTTTGAAGATACAGAAAAATTATTAGACATAAAATATGTAGAATTGACAGGGCTACAAAACTGCTATCTCAGATTTTTGAAATTTCTGAGTTTTGACCCCCAAAAATCAAAAAAGCATTTTTTGGATATTTTAGTCTAAAAATCCAAAAAGTTTTTTGAGTTTCGAAAAAAACGGTATATATGTGATAGTACCTATCGTCTTCTATCTACATACCAAAGTTCAGATCGATACCTCGTTTTTTGGCCAAGTTATAGCGAAAAAACTGTTCAAAAATAATGACGTCAAATTTTCAAACTCAATTTTTGGCAATTCTAGACCTCGTAGAGCAACAAAAAAGACCACCATTAGACTCCCCGTGACAAGCTGCATCGAATCGATACCCATTTTATGCAAAAATATCAACTTTGAAATTTGACCTAATTTGACCTGACATTGACCTGACCTTCACCAAAACGTGACCTAGGCTGGCCCCAAAGGCTGCCTAACCCACATAATCGCATTTGTCATGTAAAGTGGACCATAAAATCACACGACACTTTCATATTGTGACCCCCGGTGACCTGACCTCGCTATGACCTGACCTGGTATCAATGACCTCAGATAGCAAAGTATGTGTTTGACGAACAATGTACCATCGACGGTTTTCAATAAATTACCAATTTACTCGATTTCACAACACATTTCTTGAAATGCCTGTCAATGGTGAAAATCTGACCTTTGACCTTGTGACGTCATCGGTTTGACCTAGGTCAATGAAATCTGGTCACAAGGTAGTTCCCGGGTGGGGCTATCGAACGCCGTTTGACTTTTGAAAATCAGCCGGTAACTTTCCGAGATCTTAGGGGGGCCGAAACGCCCCCCCCCCCCCCCTACGGGTGGTAGGGTCCGCCGGTAGCCCTACGGGGCGCGTGGTGACTGAGGATGCCCTCTCGAGCCAGGAGCGCCAATCCTTACCGAGCAGTGCGACTGTTTGGCGGTGGTCGGTTTGGAGCAGATCTTCAGCGGCGTCATCTGGAACGGGAACCGGTTGGCGCACTCGCAGTTGCCGATGATACGCACCTTGGCCGCCTGCAGAATGAAGCTGCCCCCCGGCTGCAGCAGAACGGGGAAAACTTATGGCATGGACATAAAATATAGAATATCCGATCAGAAAAACGTCAATATCAAAATAAAATGAATGAATACTATAAAAACTTAGGTACAGCAAAATACATAAAAAGAAACTGTGAAATGAGAATGAGTTTGTCCAGAGGACGCAGCTTTTCTTTTGCATTGTAAAGAAAAGAGCGGCGCGCAAAACCGCGAAACTTGGCACCGCTTATCATCGTCAAATTTGCATCGAGTGTAAAATTAACCCTGGTCACCTAAGGTCAGATCACCAGATCAAGTTAGCCCTGGTATTTACGGTGGGGGAGGGAGCAAGCGGCTAAACGGACTTCCCCTCACTTTTTCGCAAATAACTCGCGCAAAAAACGGCCGATTGAGACGAAGCTTTCAAAGTCTGCAAGCGATATTATGCGTCTTCACGACCGGTATGATGCTTGCAGTCACACATCTGACCAGTTGGACGAATTTCGAACCGTTCACAGTCAGCGTTCCAAAAATTTCTCATTTGGGCTGAAGATGACACTCAAGAATAAGAATGGATAATTTTCCACTCTCACGTTTTTGGTGGCTCGAATTTTCCACTCAGACACCCAAGAGAAATCTGAAGTTTGGGACACTGTTCACCAGAAGTGAACGTGTATATAACTTAGTTTTTTTTTTTTTAAGAAAATATCAGGGTTGCGCAGTGCGCTTGGGCTTTTGAGTCAATTATTTTCCATGCGACACCAATAGGCTTAATGGTCATTTTCAGAGATGTTGGGGTTGCTGCTACAACCCCCTTTTGGGGTTCCTGCTACAACCCACTTTATATATAAAGTTGCACTCGTGCTGTTCACAATTCCTCCCGATCCATCCAACAACGCCCGATCCCGTCCGGCCGCTTCCGAATCTCCGACTAGTCGACGAGCGATCCACTCACGGCCGTAAGTTATCGTCCAAAGTTTTATAATCTGCGTCAATATTGTGTGCATACTTGTGCCACGGAATATATAGTTTTAAGTCTACGACATGTCGATATGTACCTACTACGATATGTCGTAGACTATATATTCCGTGCTTGTGCGATTTTGTGTGCACCGCGGGAGTATCACCACTGAGAGGGTTGTGGGTCTCTACTCTCTCATCTCTCTCTCTGAAGAGTCGGGGGGTCGATCGAGCCCCGTTTTTTTTTTGCATTTTTTGAATGCCATCCTGACGTTTTTTGCAGAATACAGTGACCGAAATCTGGGGAGAAATCGAAAATTGGGGGGGGGGGCTATGGCTACGAAGGTCAGTCCATGTCGCTGCCCAAGTGGCCCACCAGTCAAAATTCCTTAGCCGAGGCCCTGGTATTTGGCCTCACAGGTTATCTCGGAAAGTAAGAAACTTTGAAATACGCGGAAAAGGTAACAGCTTGCTCGCTACAAGATCTCCTTTCACTATCATAATAGGTCGTTTTTCGATTGAGTCATCGCTGAGGTCTCTGGAGGTCACCAAGCGCAGAATTATCACGAATTTTGGTTCCCGATTTGACAACTTTTGGCGCATAACTCGGGAACCAATAAAGGTACAGCGCCGCAGAAAAGCGCATTCCATTGCTCTTTCAAAGTCCTTTTCTAAGCATTGTTCTCAGAATTGATAAAACGTCATGCTTTATGAAAACAAAAGAAACAACTGAATACCTGTCTTACGCCAATACATGTCTTTGCGGCAGACAACAAAATGCAGAAAAGGTCACAATCATCAACCCCAACAAAAACCTGACCATACCATGACAATGGATAGGGTGCAGCTGATAATCAACGGTCACTCAAAAGGTCATGCCACTTTACGAAAGATTACGAGCGTTGTCGCCAGTATGAAACGTTAGATGAAGACACGGTTGAGCGATGAAATCACTTGAATTGTGTTCAAATCAATACGGATCGATTGACATGCAGCATGGTCAAATTTTGAAGTTGTCCTTTCCAGGTCAAATTTAGTTCGTTTGAGTTACACGTTCGTCAGTTACACGTTAGTTCGTTTTAGCTACACGTAAGTTTATTACAATTAATGTAAAAATCGGGAGTTGTTCGTAATAATTTAATGTTTTGTGACCTATAGTGACTTTAGCGATGACCTGATCGAAAAATGACCTGTACTGATAGGTTTTATTAGCGAGCTATCTATTGCTTTATTCAGGGTCTCTGTAGCTTTCATAATCTTTAGGTAGTCGGGTGGGGCAAAAAAAAAGCGCCACTCTTTCCACCATGGCGAAGTTGGCTGAGACCGCCCAGTACGGTGGGCTTAACGGCGATAACTCCGTCATCCAAATCGTCTGTTACCTATTGAGTTCAAGGTACAGCTTTTAGTTCTGCCCGACCTCAATTATATGTCCTGTGTCCGCGATACGGGATTATTACGAGCGAGCGAGCGCAGCGAGCGAAGCGAGTCTTTTCAATATAACGGAAAAATCTCAGTATGAGCGGCCCGGCCCGGCCCGGCCCGGCCCGGCCCGGCCCGGCCTGTAACGCTTTTGAGAGGCTTACAGGGTGGAAAGTAATTACGCGAACATGTATTTTCTTACAATTTCGCCTGTCAGTGGAGATTTTGCATGAGCGCGGGCTGTTATGGAACATGACTGGTCGTGTTTGTTGTCGCCTCATCTAACAAAAGTGACCTTACTTTGAAAAATGACTTGGAAGGTCTACAACACCTCTCGGCTTCGAGTGGTGCTGACGCCATACGCTGCTCAAGACCAAAATGGGCAAAGAGATCAATTTGAAGTTGCCAGGGAAAGCGTTTGTGATTATTTTGGCTGGATTGGTGCGGAAGGGACTCGGAACGGTCTCGGCACCAGCATTACTCAATTACACGTTTGGTTGAAGCATAATAAAACTTAAGAGGACTTAAAAAGCAAAGCCGTTGGCGGCAGTAAAACCTCGGCGAATTCAGGCGCCGAATGGGTGGTCACCATTTCCGCGACCAAACGACAACAGTCGACCCGAAAACAGGCGAAATGGTTTACTTTGGCCGGGTACCCCATCTAAGATATCACGATTCATACATAAATCCGTGAAAATTCGAAAATCAAGCCGTACAAACAATCGAGATGGCCAAACTTCATGAATTAACAGCAGGATTGTCAATTTAAGTTTTCTTAACCCGCGCCCTGGTGGGGGGGGGGCTATTTTTTGCCCCCCCCCCCTCCAGACTTTTCGATATATCTCCAGAACCGCTGCGCCGATCGTCACCAAACTTTCAGTACCCTCCCGGACATCAATTTTACACGTTGTGACCAAAATTTTTTCCAAAGGCTATGATAGGTTGGCCGGAAATGACGTCAGAGTGACGTCATGTTCTGCCGTTTTCGACCCAAAAAAAGGTTTCGCGGGAAGAGCTGTCAGGCCTATAGCTTTGCAAATACAGAAAAATGATAAAGACATAAAAGCTGTAGATTGGACAGGGCTACAAAACTGCTATCTCGGATTTTTGAAATTTTTGGATTTTGACCCCCAATAATCAAAAATTAGATTTTTTGGATATAATAATCGAAAAATCCAAAAAGTTTTTTGAATTTCGCAAAAACCGGAATATATGTGATAGTCCTTACCGCCTTCCATCCACATACCAAATTTGAGATTGATACCTCTTTTTTTGGCGAAGTTATAGCGAAAAAACTGTTCAAAATTGATGACGTCAAATTTTCAAACTCAATTTTTAGCAATTCTAGACCCCGTAGCGCAAAACAAAGACCACCATTAGACTCCCCGTGACGAGCTGCATCGAATCAATACCCATTTTATGCAAAACTATCAACTTTAAAATTTGACCTTTTTTGGCCTGACCTTGACCTGACCTTGACCTGAACTTCACCAGAAACTGACCTAAGCCGTACCTGATAGTCTTATAACCAACACCATTGAGTTGGAAATGAAAAATTGGCCATAAAACATGTATCACACAACCTTAGTAAAGTTGGGCTCATGTGACCTGACCTGTGACCCTTGGTGACCTGACCTGTGACCTGACCTGGTATTGCCAGTGACCTCTAATAGCAACATATCTACTAGGCAACTGACGCCCTACCGCTGATTCTCGACAAAATGCGTTTTCCTCGGTGTTATAGCGCATTCCCTAGAAGCCCCGTGAACGGTGAAACGTTTCATCTTTGACCTGACCTGTGACGTCATCGGCGACCCCGATGTCAATGAAATTTGGTTTCCTTCGACAAATTTGATAGGCCTTTCGAACGCCGTTTGAATTTTGCAGATCCGTCCAGCAGTTTCGGAGATACGAGGGGGGGCAAAAAATAGCCCCCCCCCCCCCCACCAGGTCGCGTTATAAACAGACCCCACCAGGGCGCGGGTTAAGACCGCCAAACCTGAACAGAGGAGGACAGGCAGCTGGCTTTGTGGTTGGGTGAGACATCTTCGAAGCTATTTCATCCGTCAAACCTGCAGAACAACGCGTTGGGGGCTGCTGATGCGTCCGACGTCCCGCCCGTCCCAACCTTCAAACATCCGGCAAAGGAACACACATCAGCGTGTTATGAGCGCCCGGATGGTGTCAGAATTGCATGTAGTGACCAACAAGGCCACAAAAAAATAAAGTATACAACTAGTGGAACATCCTTCCAGACGAGTCTCTTTATCTAATCCATCAATGCACCAAAAGGGGCAAAATGATTGAGCGCACTTTTGTGCCCGACGCAAAGAAACTCTTCTTCATGATTGATAAAGTCCTTCCTCTCACGGCCAAAAAGACGCAAGACTGGTGCTTTGAGAACCCGTTCTTCCTCTGGGCATATAATGGTCAATCTGGGAATAGCCCAGACCTCAATTTGATCAAAAATATCCAGGCGACTCTTCAGGAGAGCGTCTAAGAGCTCCTAGTAGCCACTAACATCGATTGCCTCACCAGACAGCTCCAGGAGGCGTGAACTAAGCTTTGGCCAACAGTGCTTGACATGCTCATATCAATTATGCCTGAACGCCTTTGTCAGTGTATCGCACATAAATAGGAATATATGAAAAGATGAAATTTTCATGTCACCGCCGCTTTTTCCATTGCTATAAGACGAAAAAGTATGTTCGCGTAATTACTTTCCACCCTGTATATCTCAGCAACCGCTGGACCGATTGGCCTGCGGTCTTTTTTGTTGGGTAGCCCCATCCCTTCTACCCCGTAATTGACTACTTTTGATACATCTCAGTGACCGTCGTGGCACGTGCCACGTGAAAAGTCAAGGGTGTTCAAGCTGTTTTGCAAAAGCAGTGATTTTGAGAGGCTCATATCTCAGCAGCCGCTTGGGCGATTGACTTGCGGTAATTTTTATAGGGTAGCTGCATCCTTTCTACCAAAAATAGGATGCTCTCGATGCATGTGGGTCACCCGCAGTGCACGTGCAAAATACAACAATAAGAGGTGTCAAATTTGTTCCCATTTTAATAACTCGGTAATTACTGGGGCGATTTCGCTGAAACTTGGCATACAGGTAGGCACCCACCAGGCAATGCATTCCCATGTGTTGCGGTTAACCCTCGCCGGCACAGGCCATTTTGCGTCCTTCGACGGCACAAGGGGGGGGGGGGGGTGGTACGACCCCCCCCCCCCTCGCGTTTGGCCCCTGATTGAGCTAGAGCTTCGCGGAAAAAACGAGCGTGTTGCCCGTCACGAGAGGAAGCCGATGATATCCAATTTTAAGGTCCTAGGTCATCGGGTGACTTTCCAGGTCAGGTCAATGACCCGAAAACCGGGAAAATCGGGACCAGTTAGAAAGTCGTAAAGTGTGGCTGCTATGTGGTTTTCCGGGGTGCTGATTACGAATATCGTGTTAGTTTTGATCAAAGATGATGTTTTTAAGCATTTAGACCAGGTCGGGTCGGTTCAGGTCAGGTCAACCGGTAGGGGTTGTGACGGGTATTCGTAATACGTGTCAACCGCCTCTGGCAGCTTCGTAACATGTTACGAAGGCACCAAAACTACTTCGTAAATGTTCAAATGGTTGCTAAATTCGAATTCAACTCCAAAAACTAGCCTAGAAACATGTAAAACTCGAAAACGTGAACCGAGGTCACCCGAGGTCACCAAAGGTCAATGACCTGACCTGACCTTCAGGTGACCTTGACACCCACCCTAATGTATGGGAGCAATATAAAATCACATGTTTGAACGTTTGAAACCACGAAAAGCTTGCAAACGCGCGGCTAATGCGAGCCGACATACGCCGAATCGCGATTTCGGCCAAACATGGTCACGGAAAAGAGGTCACAGGTCAAAGGTCATTGGGGTCAGGGTCATGAAATTTTCAGGGAACGTGTAAAATTGATTAATGCGAGGGTACTGAAAGTTTCGTCGCGATCGGCCGCTTTTTACGCGAGTTATTCGCGAAAAACCTTAGGGGGGGTTGCATCAACCCCCCCTGTGCCGGCGAGGGTAAAGGTGCTACTGCACGTGCGCACGTGCAGGGGGCGTTTCCAGATCTCGAGAACGGCTGGGCTGATTGTGCTCAAATTTGGTACACGGTTGGAGACCGGTTAGTAGGGTGCCGTGCAAAAGTCAGTTTGGACCCCGTTTACACGTGCGCACGTGCAGAATGCCGCTTCCAGATCTCAGGAACGGCTGGGCCGATTGCGTTCAAATTTGCAACACCGCTAGCGACCGGTTAAAAGGGTGCTTTGCGCAAGCCCGTTGGAAGTACCCTCTCGCCCTTCCGCACGTGCAGGGCTCACTATCTCGCTCACTCGTTCTTCGCCCAAAAGGCGTTTTGCTGGTGTATATTGTATATCGCGCTCTGCGCGCCAGCCGCCAGGGAGCCACGATGACTCATTATATTTGTTAATGGTCGGCGTCATCTCACTTGTTATCGGACAACCATCCATCTCTTCATCCTCAGGACAAACCCATCCGCATCCCATCTCACGCTCCCCTTGCGGGCTGCCGGTCACCCCGTCTGACAACCGGTGGGTGAGGTCGGGTCCGCACCAGGACCCGTAAAAATCCTCTCCTGTGACCGTTTGGAAGGTGGGCGGACTGTCCCAACGGGGCAGAGACCGAGGCCGAGTCGGTTTCGTTTCCGCAGATCATTAGCCGCGTTTACATGGAGGGGTGTTCACGGGCACCGCACACTGCTGCGTGCGGTGTGTGCGGTGCGTCCAGCAGGCGTGGGGGTAGGGGATGGGTAGGCGGTTCTGACGTCACGGCTGCGTGCGGTGGACGGTCCACTGTGGCCAGTCCCGACCGGCCACAGCGATCGCTGTGTGCGGTGACGGAAGGCTGACGTAGGGACGCAGTGGGCGGAGCTTCGAGGCTGTGTGCGGTCCGACCGCACACAGGGCCCGTGAACAGCCCTAGGGTTAGTTGCCAGATAGTGGAATTCCGATACCGAGACATTTATTCCACTAACGAGATATTTCAGGCACATTCCGCTGGTTCTGACAACTTATGCGGCCTTCTGGCCGGGTAGGTCGTCAGAACTAGCGGATTATGCCCGAACTGTGTCGTTAGTGGAATAAATGTCTCGGTATCGGAATTCCACTATCTGGCAACTAGCCCTATGCGGTAAACGCGGCTACTGTCCGTGTCCCGCAGCCCAATGTCTACATCCTATTCTAATATCCCATAGCTCAGGCTTTTTAGGCTGAAACAGTTTACCCCCAACAAAACAAAACAAAGCAAAACAAGACAAAACAAAACAAAACAAAACAAAACAAAACAAAACAAAACAAAACAAAACAAAACAAAACAAAACAAAACAAAACAAAACAAAACAAAACAAAACAAAACAAAACAAAACAAAACAAAACAAACAAAACAAAACAAAACAAAACAAAACAAAACAAAACAAAACAAAACAAAACAAAACAAAACAAAACAAAACAAAACAAAACAAAACAAAACAAAACAAAACAAAACAAAACAAAACAAAACAAACCAAAACAAACCAAAACAAAACAAAACAAAACAAAACAAAACAAAACAAAACAAAACAAAACAAAACAAAACAAAAAAAACAAAACAAAACAAAACAAAACAAAACAAAACAAAACAAAACAAAACAAAACAAAACAAAACAAAACAAAACAAAAACATGGAAAAATTGTGCAACACGTATCAAAGAGCACGTATCGAAGATACGTGTCGCAATTCACGAAATAAATCCCGCAATTCACGAAATAAATTTCATTCTATTTTTTAGGAACGCAAACAAGCGTTACCTGTTGTTATCTTTTATGCAGCCTGTCTTTTTTACGTCGTTCCTATTTGTCTCAGCTGGCTCTGTTGAATCCTCGGAGATAAACTCCCCTCCCCTCCCCTCGGTCAGCACCTAGCTGTCCCAGCTGGCCTTGTTGAGGTCGGTTGGGGTAGATGGCTTGCTGGGTCACTTGGGCCAGTTTGGATACCCCTGAACTGACCTTGTTGGGGTCAGTTTTGCCCCAGCCGGCGATGGTGCCTTCCATGTCCGTGTACTGCTGCTCCAGCTCCAGAATCGCCGGCAAACAGATCGGCTGGATGACGTCGTTAAACTGGACATCCTCGGATAACCTGAAGGCACGCACCAAATATAGGCCTTATAAAATGGGCGATTTATTGGTTAGTTATCAATTATCATAAACGTACGTGCAACAATACAAACTTATGCTGAAAATAAGAAATGCAAATTGTTTACATTTGCAAGGTGAAATGAAAATCGGCATGCTTTGACGTTTGCCATCTAAGCTAAAAACGTTAGTGTAACAAGCAATTTTACACCGACCGTTCACAGTAAAAAAGTGTCCAGCTAGCCGCTAGGACACGTAAGAGCTCACGCCGAAGCCCATCAGCAACCATCCCCTGTTTCTCCTATCCCCTCCAATCCCCTCCGCCCCTCGGCCGCAGGACGCGGTAACACCGAGCCACTCACTCGATCAGGCCGATGTCGTGACTCCGCTCCAGGCTGACGATGCTCCATTCGGGATGCTGTTTGAATTTGGTAGCGTTGACCACCAGCGACTGGGCGCCTGGGTGTCCGATGTCGAGAGCGCCCAGCCTCAGCTCGGTCCAGACGGCAGATTCCAGGCAGTGAGCGGCCGTGAGCACGAACCGGCGGCTGATGAGAGATGCGGAGCAGTACAGCTGCCGGAGAGATAGGTGGGACGTGGTGAGCTGGAAGTGACAGACACGTGAAAAGGCATTGAATGGGTGTAGCTGACATACAAAATTATGAAACCATCATCGAGGCATGAAACTGGAGGCTGGAGTCGTCGTGTTCAACTTAAATGACTGGCAGACACGAGGGGCTGTCAAGGAGGCGGCAGCTGCAGGTACGAGCTCGTATAATAGCTAGTCAGACATGTGTTGCCTTCAAAGGTGCCATGCGTTGTCCTCGATACTAAAGGGGACATAAAAGGCATCTTTTTGACACTTTTTATAGCTTTGAAACTTTATGTTCTTAGTGCTAAGCAATGTTTATTCACAAGGATATTTTTCTTTAAAGGCGAGCTGCACGCAAAAAAAAATAAAGACAAGCTAAAACGCGATCCTTTCGGTACTCCTATTCCAACGAAACACCGTTCTTCTTTCGAAACATACCTACTTCCCGTCCTCTCGCCCCCCCCCCTCCCCCTCACATCCACGTGCTGTGATTGAGGCGTGACGGTGGCCTGCCCCCTCCTCCCCCCCTCCTCCGGGGGGTGGTATCGTGTCGACTACACCAGGCGTCACGTCACGCCGGCTCCCGCACACAATCCCCGCCGCGTCACGGCTGTGACGGCGATGGCGTCACACCTGTTCCGAGTCGCCACCCCCGCCCCCGCCCCCGCCCCTGCCGTACCGTCGCCGCTGCCGCCCCGTTAGGTGTTGAGCCCTCTAACACTTCTACACTCCTACAGTCCTTTGTCGTCCTGAAAGTTCGACGAGTGCTGACTTCTACTTCTACGTTCATAAACTACGGCTTACTGCTGAATTCGATTAGCCATGGTGTAGTTAGTAAAGCACATGATGACTGATAGATTAAAAAATGCCACGGCTTCCATGGCGGTTCAACGAGGCTTCACAAGCGAGATTCAACGATTCTTAAATGCTTTACGAGCGCTGATGTGCAAACACAATGCCCGGTTGATAGAGCAAGGAACGATAACCCACTCTTTAAGACATCAACGCGCCGCAAAATGACCTTGCAGTCGGCGTGCCGGCGTGCTCAACAAACAAACAATAAAACATCAACGCCCGCAGTATAAGTTGCTAACTTCATTTTGTATAAATAAAGAAGATAAGATGGTTACATTTCGTAAAATTGGGCGCAGCACTACCGTTTTATCGTCGGTAGTCCGATGTAGACGGCTCATATCTCACCGTTTTGTCGTCGCATACTCACTGGTTTGATAAAGATGCAGACGGCTCATACGTCACCGTTTTGTCGTCGCATACTCACTGGTTTGATACAAATTTAGACGGTTCATATCTTACTGTTTTGTCGTCGCTACTCACTGGTTTGATACAGATTTAGACGGTTCATATATTACCGTTTTGTCGTCGCTACTCATTGGTTTGTTAAAGATTTAGACGGTTCATATCTCACCGTTTTTTCGTCGCTACTCATTGGTTTGATACAGATTTAGACGATTCATATCTTACCGTTTTGTCGTCGCTACTAACTGGTTTGATACAGATTTAGACGGTTCATATCTTACCGTTTTGTCGTCGCTGGTGCGTGTGACGATGTAGACGACGAACGGAAACTCGCCGACCTTCGCGTCCTTTCCGTCCAGAATGCGTTTCACTCGCGACCTGCCGCAGTCTGAAACAGAGCAGGATCGGTCGGTAATCGGTAATCAGTCACTCGGTCTATTGGTCAGTCTCATCGGTCAGTGCAAGCGGTCAGTTCTAGCGGTCAGGCCATAGCGGTCCATCTCAGCTGTTGGTCTCTGAGGGGTCAGATCCATTACCGTCCGGTCATCCCGCATCTGTCAGTCGCAGCGTTCAGTTTTAAGCCTGAAACAGACTCTTTCCGCAGTCAGGAAATCGCATGCGAGAGCCTACTCAAATACATGGAAGCACTCTCGCATCAATCGCACGCACCTCCCGCAAGCGATTGATGCGAGAAGAATTATAATGTATTTGAATAGGCTCTCGCATGCGATTTCCTGACTGCAGAAAGAGTCTGTTTCAGCCTTTAGTGTTACACTGACATATGTACAGTGGAAGCCCAATGGGAACGGGTCGCCGACAGGCGCCAGTGGTGAGCACCGAACATGTTCTCTGAGCGCGTGGTACGTTCTTTCACCAACGCAGAACGTTCATTGGTTTGCTGTCACCCACTGAGAACTAAAAACAAAGTGACCGGACGCAGCCACTTCGCAAAAAGCGGTGAACGTTTTCACATGTCCGAACTAAGCACGTACTGACTACATTCTTTAAAAGTTGTGAGAGAGTGAACGATTTATAGCGCGCGAGGTTCAGCATACACTCTCGGTTTCATTGTTCCACAATTCGTCGTTTCAAAGTCACCGCAGAACCGGCAACCCCAGATCGTTAGTGATTCTAGTCACGAACCGTTTCACGTGAGTTTATTTAACATCCGTGAAACGTACTCTCACTAAACAATAACAAGGTAGTGGAACACATCGCGTTTGGTTATGATGCTGATCCGATAATGAAATCCTATATTAACCTTCCAGGCGGTGGGGGGGGGCATTTTTTTGTCCCCCCCCCCCCCTTTAGTTTTTTCAATATATCTCGAGAACCGCTGCACCGATCGTCACCAAACTTTCAGTACCCTCCCGGGAGCAGCTAGCGCACATGGTGACCAAACATTTTTTCCAAAGGCTATGATAGGTTGGCCGCTAATGACGTCAGAGTGACGTCATTTTTGCCATTTTCGACCCAAAAAAAGGTTTCGCGGGAAGAGCTGTCAGGCCTACAGCTTTAGAGATACAGAAAAATGTTTCAGACATAAAAGGTGTGGAATCCAAAGGGCTACAAAAATCTTGTTTCGGTTTTTCGATTTTTTGGATTTTGTTCCCCAAAAATAAAAAAATAGATTTTTTGATTATAATAGCCAAAAATCCAAAAAAAAAAATGAAGTTCGAAAAAACCGGAATATATGTGATAGTCCCTACCGCCTTCTATCTACATACCAAATATGAGATCGATACCTCTTTTTTGGACAAGTTATAGCGAAAAAACTGTTCAAAATTGATGACGTCAAAATTTCAAACTCAATTTTTAGCAATTCTAGACCTCGTAGCGCAAAACAAAGACCACCATTAGACTCCCCGTGATGAGCTGCATCGAATCGATACCCATTTTATGCAAAAATGTCAACTTTGAAATTTGACCTTTTTTGACCTGACCTTGACCTGACCTCCACCAGAAAGTGACCTAAACCGTACCTGATGGTCTTATAACCAACACCATTGAGTTGGAAATGAAAAACTGGCCATAAAACATGCATCGCATAACCTTAATAAAGTTGGGCTCATGTGGTGACCCTTGGTGACCTTTGGTGACCTGACCTGTGACCTGACCTGGTATGACCGGTGACCTCTAATAGCAACATATGTACTAGACAACTGACGCCTTATCGCTGATTTTCGACAAAATGCGTTTTACTCGGTGTTATAGCGCTTTCCCTAGAAGCCCCGTGAACGGTGAAACATTTTATCTTTGACCTGACCTGTGACGTTATCGGTGACCCCGAGGTCAATGACATTTGGTTTCCTTTCACAAATTTGACAGTGCTATCGAACGTCGTTTGAATTTTCCGGATCCGTCCAGTAGTTTCGGAGATACGGGGGGGGGCAAAAAATGCCCCCCCCCCCCACCGCGCGGAAGGTGGCTGGTAGGCCCACCGCCTGCCGGGTTAATTTTCAGAATGTTTCCTTGGCCAGCATTTCGCTTATTCTTCCAATGTCTTGGCTTGTTTGTTTTACATGTGCTAATGGCAGAACCAAAATTATACATTAGCTAACAGTCCCTTTGAAACCATTAAGTTAACCCGGCAGGCGGTGGGCCTCCCGGCCACCTTCCGCGCGGTGGAAGGGGGGGGGGGGGATTTTTTTGCCCCCCCCCCGTATCTCCGAAACTACTGGACGGATCTGGAAAATTCAAACGGGGTTCGATAGCCCTGTCAAATTTGTCGAATGAAAACAAATTTCATTGACCTCGGGGTCACCGATGACGCCACAGGTCAGGTCAAAGATAAAATGTTTCACCGTTCACGGGGCTTCTAGGGAAAGCGCTATAACACCGAGTAAAACGCATTTTGTCGAAAATCAGCGATAAGGCGTCAGTTATCTAGTACATATGTTGCTACTAGAGGTCAGTGGTCATACCAGGTCAGATCACAGGTCAGGTCACCAAAGGTCACCAAGGACCACATGAGCCCAACTTTACTAAGGTTATCCCGCGCCCCACTGGGGGGGGGGGCTATTCATAGCCCCCCTCACGTTTTTCTGCAATAACTTCCACACCGCTTGACGTATCGATGCCAAACTTTCAGTACCTTCGGCTGCATCAATTTGACACCTGGTGTCAAAATTTGAACTTCGTAGCTACCATAGGTCGGCCGGAAATGACGTCAGAGTGACGTCATGTTCGGCCGATTTCGACGCAAAACATTGAACCACGGCAATCGCTCCCAAGGGCTCAGTTTTTAAGCTAGATCCAATTTCTTTGCACGAGAGGACTCAGAATAGACTGCGCTATCCAACTGTTATCTTTTCGAGAAAAAAAAAAACGAAAAAGCTTTCAAACTTTTCGAAAAAAAAACGGAATATATGTGATAGAACGCGTTATTATGACTAACTCTAGCAAGTTTTAGCTGAATATCTTCAAAAATGGCCAAGTTATACGCGTTATTGCAAAAAATTCACAATTATTAATTTCTCAAATCAATTTTTCAGCACGTATGTGACATCGTACGCCAATGTAAACGGCACCATCGCGTTCCTGAGCTTAAACTGCATCCAATAGTCACCTTTTCTGTTAAAAAATTATAACTTCAAAACTTGACCTTTTTGACCTGAAAGTGACCTGACCTAAGCTAAATTCGACTCAAAATGACCTCGAATGACACATACTACATCAAATTCGAAATCTTTGGCTTAAATGGACCATAAAACATGTGTCACGTGACCGACGCATGATATAATATTTTCGTGACCTGTGATGACCAGACCTTGACCTGAAAATCAACGTACAAGTTTGGTACCCTCAGGGTATCTAGAGCATCTGTTCACGAGTGTGTGTGAACCAAAAATGAGCCTGATCTGACTTGTAAGACGGCGGCCAGAGCCCAAAACGTGAACAAGCCAAAATGCTAATAATTTTTACTTTGACCTGACCTGTGACGTCATCGGTGACCTCGAGGTCAATGAAATTAGGTTTCGCTCGACAGTTTTTCCGGGGCTATCAGACACCGTTTGAATTTTGACGATCGGCCCAGTAGTTTCGGAGTTAGGAGGGGGCTATGAATAGCCCCCCCCCCCCCCCCAGTAGGGCGTGTTATACGCAGACCCCAGTGGGGCGCGGGTTATGCGATGTATGTTTTATGGCCAGTTTTTCATTTCCAACTCAGTGGTGTTGGTTATAAGACCATCAGGTACGGTTTAGGTCACTTTCTGGTGGAGGTCAGGTCAAGGTCAGGTAAAAGAAGGTCAAACTTCAAAGTTCATATTTTTGCATAAAATTGGTAAATTCGATGCAACTCGTCACGGGGAGTCTAATGAAGTTCTTTGTTTTGCGCTACAAGGTCTAGAATGGCTAAAAATTGAGTTTGAAAATTTGACGTCATCAATTTTGAACAGTTTTTCGCTATAACTTGTCCCAAAAAAAGAGGTATCGATCTCAAATTTGGTATGCAGATAGAAGGCGGTAGGGACTATCACAATATATTCCGTTTTTTGAAATTCAAAAAGCTTTTAGGATTTTTGGCTGTTATATAAAAAAAAATCTATTTTTTTATTTTTGGGGGTCAAAATCCAAAAACTCGAAAAACCGAAATAGCAGTTTTGTAGCCCTTTTAATTCCACACCTTTTATGTCTGAAACATTTTTCTGTATCTTTAAAGCTGTAGCCCTGACACACCTTTTTGCATTTGAAATCAACCATTCGCCATAACTGTTTGAGGAGCCATTTCGACAATCGGCATTGAGCACAACTATTCAGGCGTGGTGTGCTTCATTTCAGCCATTCAGCAAAACAGATTGAACACTGAAATGAGCGATCTGCAAAACAGTTTAACAGTTCGCCAGACTTCGGCATAGAGGGAGCCAGCTCGGCATATGACGAATACTTTCGACCATTGACGATTTGTTTTGCCCAATGTTGAACCATTCGTTCAATGTCGAGTTCTAGAGGAAGATCGGCGAATGGTTTTGCCCAATGGCGATTCTTTGTGACCAACCGCCCATTTGTACCGCCACCTATATGGCGAATGTGTACAAATGTTTTGCCCAATGGTCAAAAGCTAACGCAAAAAGGTGTAGTACGGTACGCTCACCAACGCTCACCTACTAAATTTAGCAGTTTTCACTTTATATAGAATAGCTTTTTAAAAAGTAAGTGAAACATTGTAAAACATTGTTGGTATCACTATCTTACTTCACTCTAACGTGTTATTTGTCAAGTTAGATAGTTATCCCAGTAAGATTTGCGCTCGACGAACGTTGGCATGCCCAAGATTCTTGAAGGCATGACTAAGTGACAAATCGACTTACATAAAGTTTATTTTGGAAGACAGCGATCTTGAGCGCAGATAAGTTCGATGCTCGCTTTCAGCGTGCGTTCGCTTTCATT